TGGATAAATCCCCATATTTTCATCGTTTAAGAAAAAAATAATTTTCTGAAGCTCTAAAGCTCGTTTACCATTTATAAATATTATTTCATTTTCATCACGTTTCTGAGCCATCAGTAAATAAATGTGTTCAGATGATATTTATTTTTCTAAATAAATAATACATTTTGTCCTTAGCGTTAGGGCTTCAACAATAATTTTGACCAACCGATATTTTTGAATTTTCAGTTTTATACAAAATGTAGTTCTTCTCTTCTCTTGTTGCAAGTTTCTTGATACCACATACACTCAGTTTAAACTGCGTACTAATGAAAAAGTGAGGTGCAGAACGGCACATTGTTAAATTTGTTACAAAAACAGAATAAAAATTTGAAAAATATACAAATTCATGACCGTATATACTATTATTTATCCAAAGGGAATATAATGTTTAAAAATAATCAGAATGAAAAGGAAAACAATGTCCAATGTGTAAAAAAAAATAACTCAACTCTATTTAATTTTTGTATGGAAATTTAAAAGCTTTTTTGAAGGATAACTTTCAACGGCTTCTAAGCTCTAAGGTTGAATTTAAACTAAACTGAACTTGATGCTCTTGCTATGCATTTTTAATAGTGAAACGTCGTCACCTACAAATCTGCAATTTGCGTGAAATAAAATCGTCAACATTTCGAGTATTCGCATCATTTCAGATTCAACTTCTTAGCTCTTAATGAGTTTTATATTGGCCATGCCGTATATCTGATAATGTCCCATTTGTTTGCACATAAAATATGAGAATCGAACTTTCTGCCGAAATAACCGCTTGAAACGCAAATCTACCTATAAAGTTGCTAAAAATAAATTAAATTCATGGAGAAAAGTGGGTTCCGCAGTCCAAAATTCCTACTGGCATAACCCTGACTATCGAGACGATGCCGATGGCCGAAAGTAGCATTTTGATAGAATTTCAAGTACGAATCGAGTAATTGCAAACAGATATGGGTACTCTAATATTAGCTGTTGAATGGCCATGTTCCTATGGATCGCACACTTGGCAGTTGCAAAGCATGCATAAAGATTGGATCACAATTATCGTTTCCATATTCTGAAGCTGAGTAAATCTTGCGAAAAAAACGTTTAAAAAATCCGTGGATT